ACTGACTGAGCTAAACTTATACTGGGCTTACATTTATGTGGTAAAACTAGCGGGGCTTACCGTACATTTACTGGGCTTAGCTTATTTAGCTCCATTTTATTTGGCTATTAGCATTCTGATCTCATATTTGCTGGACTAACATTTATGGAGTGAAACTACCTTGGCTTACATTAACTGGGATCAACTTACTTGACTGCCATGGGCTTTCATCTACTGGGCTAAATATAACTGAGCTCAGTCATTTTCTTTAGCTGACTGGGCTTAAATTTACTGAGCTCAGCTAACTGGGTTACTTTAAATATTCTTAAGCTGACTGGGCTTAAATTTACTGAGCTCAGCTAACTGGGTTACTTTAAATATTCTTAAGCTGACTGGGCTTAAGTTTGGTGACTCTTTATCCATTTCATACAACATTTAATGATATTGGAACACAACCAATAACCGGTGTACTTGATTTACACCTTTACGATGTCAGGGCTGACACTAAAATCTTATTGTTCTTTTTAAGGGCATTGCTAACTTAATTGATATATTAATTAGGAATATAATGAGAGGCGATGAGTTGCCATTTGGCACAGTTTTATTAGTGAGTTATTCAGGGATAAGCTTGGGTATAACAGCAGTAATTCTATAGAACACTGAAAGTGTTTACCATGCAAACTGTTACTGTTTAGAAGTGGACTGGAATATTGCTTCAGCAAATGTTCATCTTGAAATGATTCAAGTAGCTAGCCTCATTAACTTATAGGAGTTTGGTACTCTGCTCTCTAACAATTGAAGGCAGGGGTTTATTAAGTGTGAAATTCATGTCAATGTACAGCTATACCATCTAATCCAGGTTAATATTGATCGTGTTCATTAGAGTTATAAAGGAGATAGTTCTGAGGTATCAAACATGTTGTATGAAGTTTAAATCCTCTTTTGAGTGACAAGTATATAAATCAATGAAACACCAGACATCGTAAGCCAGTGATTGGTACACAAGTATCTTTAACTTACGACATGTAACATTTCATCATCTCCTTAGTAGAATTACTATATAACAGTTTGGTTGTTTGTTTTTTTACTCAGTATTATAGATATGAAATATGTGCTACCATTGTGGGCCAGTATTGACTTATACAGTTGATAATCATTGATTCTATTAGAGTGAAAGCAGGGAAATTAAATCTATTATAGATATCATCCTATGTATAACTAAGATCCCTGTAGTCAAGTGCCACCTTATCACAATGAAACACCCGTATCATATCTCTGTAAAACACCTGTATCATATCTCTGTAAAACACCTGTATCAATTCTCTGTAAAACACCTGTATCATATCTCTGTAAAACACCTGTATCATATCTCTGTAAAACACCCGTATCATATCTCTGTAAAACACCCGTATCATATCTCTGTAAAACACCTGTATCATATCTCTGTAAAACACCTGTATCAATTTTCTGTAAAACACCTGTATCATATCTCTGTAAAACACCTGTATCAAATCTCTGTAAAACACCTGTATCATATCTCTGTAAAACACCTGTATCATATCTCTGTAAAACACCTGTATCATATCTCTGTAAAACACCTGTATCATATCTCTGTAAAACACCTGTATCATATCTCTGTAAAACACCTGTATCATATCTCTGTAAAACACCTGTATCAATTCTCTGTAAAACACCTGTATCATTCTCTGTCACCTGTATCATATCTCTGTAAAACACCTGTATCAATTCTCTGTAAAACACCTGTATCAATTCTCTGTAAAACACCTGTATCATATCTCTGTAAAACACCTGTATCAGTTCTCTGTAAAACACCTGTATCAATTCTCTGTAAAACACCTGTATCATATCTCTGTAAAACACCTGTATCATATCTCTGTAAAACACCTGTATCAATTCTCTGTAAAACACCTGTATCATATCTCTGTAAAACACCTGTATCATATCTCTGTAAAACACCTGTATCATATCTCTGTAAAACACCTGTATCATATCTCTGTAAAACACCTGTATCATATCTCTGTAAAACACCTGTATCATATCTCTGTAAAACACCTGTATCATATCTCTGTAAAACAACACCTGTATCATATCTCTGTAATCTGTATCATATCTCTGTAAAAAAACACCTGTATCATTCTCTGTAAAACACCTGTATCATATCTATGTAAAACAACTGAAACAGTACACTGTAAAACACCTGTATCAATTCTCTGTAAAACACCTGTATCATTCTCTGTAAAACTGTATCAATTCCTGTATCAGTATCATTCTCTGTAAAACACCTGTATCATATCTCTGTAAAACACCTGTATCATATCTCTGTAAAACACCTGTATCATATCTCTGTAAAACACCTGTATCAGTTCTCTGTAAAACACCTGTATCAGTTCTCTGTAAAACACCTGTATCATATCTCTGTAAAACACCTGTATCAATTCTCTTTAAAACACTCTGTTTATGTTACTTCAGTAGAACCTGTTTTGGGAGACCACAGGTTCTATCATTTCAGTAGAACCTGTTTTGAGAATTCATTATTTTTTCACTAAAGTAGAACCTGTTTTGAGAGACCACTGTTTTTGTCACTCAAGAAGAATTTGTGTTAAGAATCCATTGTCTTTTCACTAAAGTAGAACCTGTTTTGAGAGACCACTGTTCCTGTTTCTTTAGTAGAACCTGTTTTGAGAAACCACTTTTTTTGTCACTTATGTAGAACCTGTGTTGAGAATCCATTGTCTTTTCACCAAAGTAGAACCTGTTTTGAGAGACCACTGTTCAGGTTTCTTCAGTAGAACCTGTTTTGAGAGACCACTGTTTTTGTCACTTAAGTAGAACCTGTTTTGAGAGACCACTGTTTTTGTCACTTATGTAGAACCTGTGTTGAGAATCCATTGTCTTTTCACTAAAGTAGAACCTGTTTTGAGAGACCACTGTGCAGGTTTCTTCAGTGGAACCTGTTTTGAGAGACCACTGTTTTTGTCACTTAAGTAGAAACTGTTTTGAGAATCCATTGTTTCTGTCACTACAGTGTAGATCTTGTCCTTTAGGTACCTTCAGACTTGAATTGTTGTAACAGCTGAGCATGTTTTAGGAAATCTTATTTCATATATTCAGGCTACTGTAGTTGACTGTGATCATTGGTGACTTTGATGAAGTTTATGGGTAGGGCTAATAAACTGTTGAGGTTTACATTACAGGTCAGGATAGCAAGATTTACAACTGATGATTTTATAGATCATTATTGTTGTGGTGTTGTCATAGTGACGGTCAAGTCTGTACCTGTCAGTAACCTGTCGTCACCAACTTTCAAGCTCTGTAATCAATTACAAGTACTGAAGTTATTACTCTTAAATATCTAGAATTTGATGTTAAGTAACATGGCCTTACCTCTAGCTTGTTATTTTGATATCGTGTACTTTGATTATGATTTTTTTTTTGCAATATCAAAACAGTGCATATACACAGGTCACAACTGTTATACAGGTCATAGATCATCAGTGGTTTAGGTCATAGGGCATCTGTTGTGTAGGTCATAGGTTATCTGTGGTTACTTGTTTACTAGAACAGACATAGTAAGGAGATTTTTTTAGCCAAAATTTAAAGGAAAATAACATTGATACATGTGTAGATCTGAACATGTACACAAGTGTTTGTGTTATTATAGGTGTGGAGTACAGAAGAATTCTACAAAAAAAAGGCTTTTTCTGACAATATATCCTTGTTTGCACTCACTGTTTGTTTTGTCATTGTAAAATTCATTAAAAGATTATGTTATATAGGCTTGCAGGCAGGTGTTCAACCACTAGTCGTGACAATTCAGTCACAAACATTTATAAATATACAATAAAAGTAATCAGGATATATCAGATAGTCTACACTTGACTTTTAGATCAAATATAAAATTTTATAGATTGAAAAATAAAAGTAACAGACACATAACAATGCTATACATAAAAACTCAATAGTGTACACCTGTGTTATACATAAAAACACAATAGTAAACACCAGTGTTGTACATAAAAACACAAAAGTAAACATACGTGTTATACATAAAAACACAAAAGTAAACACCTGTGTTGTACATAAAAACACAAAAGCAAACATCCGTGTTATACATAAAAACTCAATGGTGAACACCTGTGTTATACATAAAAACACAATAGTGAACACCTGTGTTATACATAAAAACACAATAGTAAACAGGGTTTTCCATAAGATCTTTTGACCGGCTACTTTGATCATTTGGTCGCCTACACCAATCCAGTTCCATAATAATGTTCCGTACACAACTACATGTACACGGCAGGCCAGCCTCCCTTTTCACTACACAGCCTACTACTAACAAAATTATGGAAAACCCTGAGTAAACACCTGTGTTATACATAAAAACACTATAGTAAACACTTGTGCTATACATAAAAACACTATAGTTAACACCTGTGTTACACATAAAAAAGGTAAACACATGTGTTATATGATAAATGACTTTATAGATGTAAATGATATCCTTGTACATAAATACTAATGAAGGAATTAAGATGGCTTTTCATTTTTTCTGCTAAAATCTTTGAAGCTATTTGATAGAGAGGGGGGACAACTATTTTATATTTTCATTTTAAAGTTTGATTCTAATGAGATATATTGTATATAAAGAATTGTTGTTGGTCTGTTAAACAATGTTTACTTTATCTGTTTTTCAATGTTTTCATGGTTGTTGTGGAAGAAAAGAAATAGACAAATAAATACTTGCTTAATTTCTGTTTAATTGTTTCAGTTTTGTTGTGTATGATAATAAATATTGAATACAGTTTCCAACAACAACAGGGATTTGGTATAGAGCATGACTCTCACAGTTCATGTCTTTAGATGATTAATGAAAATATCTGTTCATACTACAAAACATTTAGTTTCAGACAATGTAATAAAGCAGAAAGAGAAATGTATACATAACACAGTAAAGTTGTACACAGTAAAATTAATCTTTCTTACCTTTGCTTCCTCAGAAAATGAAGATGTCAAGAGAACAACCCTTCGAGAGCTCAAGATGCTCCGCACCCTCAAACAAGAAAATATTGTCGAGCTGCGGGAAGCATTCCGGCGGAAAGGGAAACTCTACCTTGTGTTCGAATATGTGGAAAGGGTGAGATTTAACACGTTTTAAAATTCTTTCCCTAGTCAGATCATATCTGATAAAAAAATTGATACTAAAGTGGAAATTTGGAAATATTTTACTGATAGAGAAATTTTAGTGTACATTTACAAAATTAGGCTATATCATAGTATTATTGAATTAGTGCTAGAACTTGTCTACTGTTGTAGAATATGCTGGAGTTACTGGAGGAGATGCCAAACGGAGTTCCACTGGAAAAAGTACGGAGCTATACGTTCCAACTGTGTAAAGCTATACAGTGGTGTCATAGTCAAGACATAATACACAGAGGTGAGTTGTGGGGGTAGGGGAAGGGGTAGGTAGGTGTACACAGAGATGAGTGGGGGGTAGGGGAAGGGTGAGGTGGGCATACACAGAGGTAAGTTGTGGGAGTAGGGGTAGGTAGGCATACACAGAGGTGAGTTGTGGGGGTAGGGGAAGGGTGAGGTGGACATACACAGAGGTGAGTTGTGGAGGTAGGGATAGGGGTAGGTAGGCATACACAGAGGTAAGTTGTAGGGGAAGGGGTAGGTAGGCATACACAGAGGTAAGTTATAGGGATAGGGGAAGTGGTAGGTAGGCATACACAGAGGTAAGTTATAGGGATAGGGGAAGTGGTAGGTAGACATACACAGAGGTGAGTTGTGGGGATAGGGGTAGGGGTAAGTAGACATACACAGAGGTGAGTTGTGGGAGTAGGGGTAGGTAGGCATACACAGACGTGAGTTGTGGGGTAGGGGTAGGGGTAGGTAGGCATACACAGAGGTGAGTTGCAGGGTTAGGAGAAGGGTGAGGTGGGCATACACAGAGGTGAGTTTTGGGGTTAGGGGAAGGGGTAGGTAGGCATACACAGAGGTGAGTTTAAAGGGGGGGGGGGGGCAAGGGGTCATACATAAGTACATAAGGGGAGTTGAGTGGTTGGGGCAAATGCAAGAGTGAGATGTGTAAGGGGCACACCCAGAGCATCAATATCTTGGTAACAAAATTCATTGTGTTATTTATGTGACCTACTGGTAGGTATGATTTAAAGCCTCTTTACCATGTTTCGCTTGTACAGCAGACTATATATATAACAAGACACCTGGGTTCTGCTTCACATGCTCAATACACAACACATACTACTAGACATCTAGGTCCTGCTTCACATGCCCAACAGACCTGCTTCACATGCCCAACTGACAATGTATATTACAAGAAATCTAGGTCCTGCTTCACATGCCCAACAGACAACATATACTACAAGATACCTAGGTGAATTGACTGTCAGGGAATCTTTGATATTACCTCGTCAGTTTCTACAACAGAAGCTATGAATTATTTATAGATATCTTCTGTGGACTTTACCTAAATAGCTTGTCGATGTAAGTCGTACACAATATAATCTCAAATATCTTTTATCTCTCTGTTGTGAGAACGCACATAAACATCATAATGATTACAGAGCCTGCTTAGAGTATTCTTTTATTCTACCCTGGAAATCTAAACAGGACTGGTCAATGTTCAGGACTTTCACTTTGGTATCTGATTGGAGCTCTCTGATGTAGGAGGTTGTGAATTATAGATGTTGTATGGAAAATTAGGCATAAAGAAAGTTATTATTTATTCAGGCAGTGGAGACTGTTGTTTTCTGTATTGATCTGTAATGGATCACTATGATACGATACACAGACTAGCCTCTGAGATTAAGATTTCTTTGCTCATGATAGAAGTTGACAGGTAGGGTGTCAGATTGTTGTAGTTAGAGGCAGGAACAGGTAGCCTTGTAGGTGTCAGTGTACAATATTTTGTTTGGTTCATTACCCTGTGAATAGCTAGCATTATTTTAAGATACAACCCTGTGACTAAAGATCAGTGTGTCTTTTAGCTTCCTGTGAAACACAAACAGACTGGTAACTGGTAATGAACATCCAGATATTCATCTGAGGTTAAAGACACACCTCAGACCTTCACCTGTAGTTACTGACACACCTCAGATCTTTACCTGTAGTTACTGACACACCTCAGATCTTTACCTATAGTTACTGACACACCTCAGATCTTTACCTAGTTACTGACACACCTCAGATCTTTACCTGTAGTTACTGACACACCTCCAATCTTTACCTGTAGTAACTGACACACCTCAGATCTTTATCTGTAGTTACTGACACACCTCCAATCTTTACCCGTAGTAACTGACACACCTCAGATCTTTACCTGTAGTTACTGACACACCTCAGATCTTTACCTTTGGTATCTGACACACCTCCAATCTTTACCTAGTTACTGACACACCTCAGATCTTTACCTGTAGTTACTGACACACCTCAGATCTTCACCTTTAGTTACTGACACACCTCAGACCTTCACCTTTAGGTATCTGAAACGCTTCAGATCTTCACCTGTGGTTTCTAACAGACGTCAAATTTGGCGGGTTACGATTGAAATCTTCGAAAACAGGTATGCTTTGCAACTATGACATGAGGTTGTATTTTCCTGAATGGAGTTTTAATTCAAGAATTTCTGGATGAGTTAGTGCCAAGTTTTTTCAATTTTTTCTCTCCAATATTCATTGTTTTTTTTTTTTTTTTGTTCTTTTTTTTATGTTTTCCTAGGCATGTTTCATTATATAACCCTGGCTGTTTATGAGGTTTTAAACCCTCTTGAACAGGTTACCAACAGCTTAAATTATGTAATAAAGGATGGTGTTCTGGGCTGTTTACTTTGAAATATGGGAGATTAAATGTCTCATTATTTCTGAGCAGAGAAATACACCATTACTGATCCTTAATTGATTTTCTATAATTCATATCTCTCATCAGACATCAAACCTGAAAACCTGCTGATCAGTAAACAAGATACCCTCAAGTTGTGTGACTTTGGTATGTATTTGTGACCTTGGTGAGTACTTGTTGAAGATTGATAAGTATGGAGTTGTGAAGTTTAAACGAAGGGGTTGGATTTTGATGCTTCCTGGTTGAAGTTCAAACTTAAATACTTGATTACTGTCCAATAACCCAAACTGTAACATATGTGCCTTCATTCATTATCATGGTAATATCTTCACTTTCATACGAAATTAAAGAGTTTGATTAAGTGTTCACTCTGTGTATTCAATGATAAAGAAACACTCTGATACTGTGTTGTAATGTTGTTTTTTTTTTATCTTTTACCTTTCCTTGTCACAGGTTTTGCCAGGAGTATAACAGGAGGTCTAGTTGGGGTCTATACAGATTATGTCGCCACAAGATGGTACAGGTCCCCAGAACTACTGCTGGGGTAAGTCTTGTACTCCTGGGGTATGTCTTGTACTCCTTAGAAAAGTCTTGTACTTCAGGGGTAAGTCTGACTCCTCCTTGGATAAGTCTGAGGTGAGTCTGGCAACTCCTCATGTAACACTAATTTATCAGGATCCACCTTGAGTTAACTTAGCTTGTCTTCAAGTAAGTGTGACTTGTCCTCGGTGAGGATAAGTCTGTTAAACTGTGGTAAAAGTTTTCTGGCATACAGAATAGATAAAGGTTAAGTGGATAAAGGTCATGCTTCATCCCTTTTGAAATGCCAAATGGATACAAGAAATCCTGATCAAGGGGTAGAGGGTATGTATACATGTTAGTGAACCTTTACTCACTTGTTTCTTCAAATAAAACACTTTTCAAAATTCCAGGTCAGCATACGGTAAATCTGTGGACGTCTGGTCCATCGGCTGTATAATGGGGGAGCTCTGTGATGGACAACCTCTGTTTCCTGGTGAAAGTGAGATTGACCAACTCTACGTCATTCAGAAGGTCATGGGTCAATTACCCTCAGAACAGATGAACATGTTTTTTCACAACCCTCGTTTTTCTGGCCTGAAGGTAAGTCAGCAGTTATCTATATCAAACTCAACTCTCTGGCTTGAATTGTACAATTATATTGATAGCTACAGGGCTTTAAAGTATGGAGGATAAGTTAGATATTCAGGATTTCTGCAAAACAAAACTACAGACCATACTCCTGGAGCCAGATTTTTTCTGATTTTACAGATGAAAATCTAACTCCTGTGACTTTTTATTTCCAGTTCCCATCAGTGACTAAACCCCAGACACTACAGAAACGTTACCAGGGAGTTCTCAGCAGTGTCTATCTAGACTTTATGGAGGTAATAAACAATGGCTGGAGGGCAGTGATAAGTCTTTATATAATATCTGATGTTTAAAGTATTTAGTTGTTAAATGAGTAGCAGTGTCAGCTTCTTTATCATGCACCGACTAATTTATGAAAACAAATTTCAGTCTTCAGTCTCTCTTCGTTGTTTAGGATTATTTCAGTTGATTTATTGATGATCAGCTTCCCACTGTGTTGTCCACCTTCATTCACCTCTGAACTCTTCTACCTGACCATAGTATTTTCCACTTTTATTCACCTCTGAACCCTTCCACCTGACCATAGTATTGTCCACCTTCATTCACCTCTGAACCCTTCTACCTGACCATAGTGTTGTCCACCTTCATTCACCTCTGAACCCTTCTACCTGACCATAGTATTGTCCACCCTCATTCACCTCTGAACCCTTCTACCTGACCATAGTATTGTCCACCTTCATTCACCTCTGAACCCTTCTACCTGACCATAGTATTGTCCACCCTCATTCACCTCTGAACCCTTCTACCTGACCATAGTGTTGTCCACCTTCATTCACCTCTGAACCCTTCTACCTGACCATAGTATTGTCCACCCTCATTCACCTCTGAACCCTTCTACCTGACCATAGTATTGTCCACCTTCATTCACCTCTGAACCCTTCTACCTGACCATAGTATTGTCCACCCTCATTTTTCTTTGAACAATTCAACCTGACCACAAACTATGTTATCCTCCCACAATTTCTTTTGAACTCTTCCACCTGACCACGAACTTTGTTGTCCTCCAACAATCACCTTTGCAACCTTCCACCTGACCACAAACTTTGTCCTCCAACAATCACCTTTGCAACTTTCCACCTGACCACAAAATTGATTGTCCATCTCGATAATCAGTTTGTTGGTCAAATGGCCTATCATGACATAATTACATCTGAAGTTATCTACCTACACATTGGTAGCCCAAATGTCTGACCAGCTGATCTCTCCCTTCTTGACAGAACACACTGCAGCTGGACCCTACTGACCGCTTCCTTATAGAGGAGTGTATCAACCATCAGGTCTTCCAGACGGAACAGCTTCTCAACCGCACACACAACATTCCGATCAAGTACGCCCGCACCGGCAGCAGCAAGAAACGCAAGAAGGAATTCCCTGACAGTAACATAGACAGGTAGTGATATTGAGTATCACACTATAAGGCCCTAATACTATTGTGATTAGTACTATATCACAAGGCCCTGTGTTGTCATATTAATATGTTGTAACATACTACAGGGCCCTGTGCTGTAAAATCTTCATGAAGTAAAGTCATGTGCTATAATGCTATTTTTCCCCAAAGACAGTATATTTTCTTTAAAGACATCCTTGAGAAATGTTTTTATCTCAGTGATTTTTTAACCTAATTTTTTTTTTTTTTTTTCCTTTGCTTTGAGATATGAATTGCATTATTGACAGTTTTGGTTATTTTGTAGTGAAAATTTAAAGAACCTCCATAAGAGTCGACCTGATACAGGGGTGTCAGAGGAAGCCAAGCCATCCCAGGGTCCTCCACAAGTCCAGAGAGTGATGGCAGCACAGGAGGAAAAGATGGATACCAGTGAGGATAGCTATATACAAATGCCTGTTACTAGTAAATACATCAAACAGGCTAAAAATCTGTCCAAAAGTAATGCTGACAAACTGGCCAGTCAGCAGGAGACTAATAAACAGCCAGTGACACAATCTGTTCAAAGGGAAGCAACTCGTGTTGAGAAATATGACTCTCGCTCACGAACCCCTAAACCTGTGTTAGAGAGAGGAGACACAAAAGGCCAGTCTATAGATAGTGGTGGTCAGTTTGACCGCGAGAAAACTCTGGTGCTTGATAACGGATATAAAATGAGAATGACTGACAAATCAGGTGGTATAGAGGAAGGTATGGCAAGAGGAGGGAGACATAATAGTACCACTAGTGAACGAACAGTGGACACCAACAATAGGTCAGTGTCGAGAACTAGTCAAGAAAGCCGACATCACAGCACGTTTGCCGATTTCCGTAATGCAAATGTGTTGGAAAGTGGGTTACAAAGTGCATCTACATTAACCACTGCCCATAGTCAAACTAGCTCATCTAATATAGACAGTGCATCACCGCGTACAGAAGATCTCGACTCACCCGGATTACATAGCGAATCCAAGTACCTCAAGCGTAAAGACAATGCTAAAGTTGTGCCAGATTTGTCAGGAGAGGCAAAGCCTGTAAAACAATCATACTCCAAAGAAAGTTTGTCGGATTCTCCGACTGCTACGCCTCGTGAAATGAAGGGAGGCAATTCTCAGTATAAATCATCCTCTACCTACACTGTCAACTTACAAGCGCCAAATCATGCCCATAGTCAAGAATCATCAGAAAATTCCAAAGGCCAATTCGGAAGTCCCCAGGTGGAAAGGAAAAAGGCAAGTTGTACTATTTTGATCTGTTTGAAATTAATTGGCCAGATTTTCAAAATGATCTTGTGATTTATTGTTGTAATATTTATATTTGATAAAGCCTGTATTACAAATAGCTGTAATGTTGTATTATGGTTGCAGTTTCTGGATAAAGCTATGCAGGAAGAGTTAAAAAGGATCAAGTCCAGTACTCTCGGCCGCAAGAAGAGCCAGGATAAGATCCATCAGGGATCCTTTATACAAACAATCACTGACAAACTCTCAGATGCCAAAGTGAGTAGTTCCACCTTTCTCTCTGTCCTACATGTCATCATTGATTCATATCTATGCATTATGTCAAATTGTCTGATATGTTTCACTATCTGAAGATTTACTGTCTTAAATCAAACTGTCTAAAGATTTACTGTCTTAAATCTCACTGTCTAAAGACTTAATGTCTTAAATCTCACTGTCTAAAGACTTAATGTCTTAAATCTCACTGTCTAAAGACTTAATGTCTTAAATCAAACTGTCTAAAGATTTACTGTCTTAAATCTCATTGTCTAAAGTCTTAATGTCTTAAATCTCACTGTCTAAAGATTTACTGTCTTAAATCTCATTGTCTAAAGACTTACTGTCTTAGGTGCCACTGTTGTATGTCTCACTATCTGAAGACTTCCTGTTTTAAATCTCACTGTCTAAAGACTTCCTGTCTTAAATCTCACTGTCTAAAGACTTACTGTCTTAAATCTCACTGTCTAAAGACTTACTGTCTTAGGTGCCACTGTTGTATGTCTCACTATCTGAAGACTTCCTGTCTTAAATCTCACTGTCTAAAGACTTACTGTCTTAAATCTCACTGTCTAAAGACTTACTGTCTTAGGTGCCACTGTTGTATGTCTCAATATCTGAAGACTTCCTGTTTTAAATCTCACTGTCTAAAGACTTACTGTCTTAAATCTCACTGTCTTAGGTGCCACTGTTGTATGTCTCAATATCTGAAGACTTACCCAGTAGTCTCACTGTATTAAATATTGCTTTCCAAAGACTCTGGGTATTACTTTACCTATTACTGATGTCTTTTCCAGCTCCAAACAGCAGATTCCAAATATAGGGAGAGCAGCTTCGTCAACTATAATGGAACGAATAAGGCTGTCAACAAACGAAACCGCAATCAATATTATGGTGAGTTGTTTTGGATAGTTGTACATCATGGTCAATACCCAAGGAAACAGTAAGCATCAATCTCAGATATTATTTACATACTTAGATCCATGTGTATAATGATTCAGGTTTCATTCATATGCATGTAATGTTTTTGCATGTTTGTTAAAAGTTGTGTCTTGTGTTAAGAAGCATGACAAATCTGTTTCTATCATGGTTCAACCCTGCTAATAATGTTGACAGAAGGGTCATTCAGGGAGATTTTTTCATATATATATTTTTTTAACACATAAAATATCTTGCCTTGACTATTGTGGAGATGAGATGATTATAAATCATTTCTGACATGAGACACATAAAATTCTTGATTAATACTTGTTAGAGTCATCAGCAGTTTATATCTGTGAAATCATCCTATGTTATGTACCCCAAACCCTCTGTACCAGCAGGATGTCAGGCTTTGGTACTAGATATTTAGTCAGAGTTACATCAAACCTTAACAGTGTATGCCTTACCATACAGAAGACAAGAAGACTTTGATAAGCATTCTATCTACGGCCAGTCCGCGGTCATCCAGGACCGGACGTCAGTCCGCACGGAAACCTCAGCCAAATATCGTCTTCCCTAGTTTAAGATACTTGCATGCTGATGATTATGAGGAAGAGCAACCCAATAATGATAACAGTAATATTTTTGGTCCCTTATTTATGTTTTATATATCTGGCAATGGCAGTATCCCCGCTATTAATGTAGACGTGCATTAGCTTTTTTGAACATTTACTGTAATTTATGATTCAGTTATTTTCTTTAATTTGTTCCAAACAATTGTATTAATTTAATATGAATTAAATTTTTGGGTTATGGATAATATTTTCTATATTACTAGATGTGACTCCCAATTACATTCTGATTAATTTTAGCTTTTTGTGACCAAGCTATGGAATTGTCAAATATTTTTAACAATCTATACTTGGTGATGGTAATTTCTTTCTATTAATCTTCATTTTATAACAGTAAACCAGTATCTGAAGCCTTGGAAGGAATTTTATCAGGGAAATATGTTACTGCCTTTTTACCTGGATATATCTAAAATCAAATTAGATATACTGTTCTGTAATGAGAATGATGTTGTCAAGTTCAGCTCCTACCTGATCTTTTTATTTTTAGCTCCCAAGAGTGACAGTGTTTCAATGTTGACTTTTCTTTTTACTTTTTTTTCCCTTTATTATTTTTTTTTCTCTTATGGACTTTTTTCCCCCATCCTCACTGCAAAGTGTTTAGTGTAAATTTTAGAGATTCTGTAGAAAAGAGAGATCAGATGTGGTGGGATCTTTTACTGGTTGTGTTATAAGAACTTCTATTCTATTGAGATAACCAACCTGAAGAAAATGTTTCAAATTAGAGGTAATCACTCTGTGTAGTAAGGGAGGTAATCACTCTTATTGTTATAAGGGAGGTAATCACTCTGTGTAGTAAGGGAGGTAATCACTCTTATTGTTATAAGGGAGGTAATCACTCTGTGTAGTAAGGGAGGTAATCACTCTCATTGTTATAAGGGAGGTAATCACTCTCATGGTTATAAGGGAGGACATCACTCATTGTTATAAGGGAGGTAATCACTCTCATGGTTATAAGGGAGGTAATCACTCTCATTGTTATAAGGGAGGACATCACTCATTGTTATAAGGTAGCAGTAAACAGTTAATTTGCATTTTTCCTGAAATTATTTGTCATGTTTGAGATATACAGGTATAGCAGATTGGTTATGGAAAATGCATCATTACATGTATATATATTTATAAACTATATAACAATTACATTAACAGTAGAGAGATGAAATTTGTGTAAAAAAAAATTTCCTCTGATTTCTGACATTTGATTGTCATGGTTACCTACTGAAAAAATGCTAAAAATGCAAAAATACTGCTAATTCCAACCCAACACTACAACTTTCTAGGAGAAATTTAATTCTAAACACCTATCTTACAATCAACAACACTGTCATGGTAACAAAGTACTTACATTTCAGCAAATTCCAACTCGGAAATTCTTCATAACATGACCACATGTGAACACTATGAAAATTTCACTTCCTGTAAAGCTAGTTTTTGGTGCGTAGACACAGATTCGAGACTGCCCAAATAGTAATCTCCAACACAAAGCTAAAATATTATCCTGAAAAAAATGAAACCCCACATTGTCCACTTTAACATGACAGAACCAATTTTAGCAAGGATTTTTTTTTTCATTTTTAATTAAAACCTTTATAATGGGGTAATCTAATGAGCAAAAAAATCACCCATGGCCACAACGAGAAACTGTGTACTGCTACCTAAGGGAGGACATCACTCATTGTTATAAGGGAGGTAATCACTCTCATTGTTAGGTAGCAGTAAACAGTTAATTTGCATTTTTCCTGAAATTATTTGTCATGTTTGAGATATACAGGTATAGCAGATTGGTTATGAAAAATACATCATTACATGTATATATATTTATAAACTGTATAACAATTACATTAACAGTAGAGAGATGAAATTTGTGTAAAAAAAAAAATTCCTCTGATTTCTGACATTTGATTGTCATGGTTACCTACTGAAAAAATGCTAAAAATGCAAAAATACTGCTAATTCCAATCCAACACTACAACTTTCTAGGAGAAATTTAATTCTAATCACCTATCTTACAATCAACAACACTGTCGTGGTAACAAAGTACTTACATTTCAGCAAATTCCAACTCGGAAATTCTTCATAACATGACCACATGTAAACACTATGAAAATTTCACTTCCTGTAAAGCTAGTTTTTGGTGCGTAGACACAGATTCGAGACTGCCCAAATAGTAATCTCCAACACAAAGCTAAAATATTATCCTGAAAAAAATGAAACCCCACATTGTCCACTTTAACATGACAGGACCAATTTTAGCAAGGATTTTTTTTTTCATTTTTAATTAAAACCTTTATAATGGGGTAATCTAATGAGCAAAAAAATCACCCATGGCCACACCGAGAAACTGTGTACTGCTACCTTATACATCACAATTAGTTTTTTTAATTTCATTAAAATCCCTCTGAGTGTCTAGAAAATGATCACACGAACAAAACAATATATCGCTTTACTGTGTATCTTGAATAGCTATCGAGTAATATGGATTTTCCCGCATGGTGTGTTTTGACCAATTCTGCTCTCAAATTAGGAAGAAAGGGAGGTAATTTGAAAAATTAAAACCTCAATAAGTCTTAAATTTACTTGAATAAAGTTGCAATTGAAACTGAATCAAGTAGTTTGTGCTTCTGTGAATTTAGATAACTGAAAAGCAGATTGATACTACATATATAAAGTCTTATGTTATGACGTCATGGTAACAGCTGATGTCATCAGTACTATGACGTCATCAATTGCTAATGATGGCTTCACCAATGCACTGTGATGTCATAGTGAAGGCTAGAAATCCAACAAAAACTTCAAATTAGCATCTGACACATTTCTCGAAAGTAATTAACAGTGATATGACATAAGATATTCTTAAATGTCATGTGTATGACATCACAAACACCTATGCTTACTGCCCCCCACCCTTCTTCAAGTGTAATATTAGAAACCCTATTACATTGCAATATTGTTCGAAAAATAGTCTTTTTTACAGCAGTAACTATGGAAATGTAATTTTATGACAATATTAACATGATTGTATGCCCAATCTATGAGAAATACACACACATTATTGAGTAAAAATCATCAAAACAGAGAATTTATCCAAAATTCAAAAACTCATACTTTCCTTCTTAGTTACTATGGATACCACACCTTAAACTATTGGAATTGCCCTATAATGCAGTCTAAATACATTCTAAGGTTGTTACTGACTTATTTCATACCTGTTACCTACTGTAGAACAGTTTTCAAACTGATACCAAGCCTTTTGAAAACAGCTGAAATTCTCACCCACAAGAGCACCCAAATTACCTCCCTTTATGCACCCCTGATGAAATTAAAATAAAATCATTATGAACAAGTTTCAGTGTGTTTTTTATGTATTTATAGCAATTATGGAAAGGATTAAACTTAATTAAACATAGTAAAGCACATTTTAAATAGATTAATTTTTTTTAATGTGCTATAAGGTAGCAGTAAACAGTTAATTTGCATTTTTCCTGAAATTATTTGTCATGTTTGAGATATACAGGTATAGCAGATTGGTTATGAAAAATACATCATTACATGTATATATATTTATAAACTGTATAACAATTACATTAACAGTAGAGAGATGAAATTTGTGTAAAAAAAAAAATTCCTCTGATTTCTGACATTTGATTGTCATGGTTACCTACTGAAAAAATGCTAAAAATGCAAAAATACTGCTAATTCCAATCCAACACTACAACTTTCTAGGAGAAATTTAATTCTAATCACCTATCTTACAATCAACAACACTGTCGTGGTAACAAAGTACTTACATTTCAGCAAATTCCAACTCGGAAATTCTTCATAACATGACCACATGTAAACACTATGAAAATTTCACTTCCTGTAAAGCTAGTTTTTGGTGCGTAGACACAGATTCGAGACTGCCCAAATAGTAATCTCCAACACAAAGCTAAAATATTATCCTGAAAAAAATGAAACCCCACATTGTCCACTTTAACATGACAGGACCAATTTTAGCAAGGATTTTTTTTTCATTTTTAATTAAAACCTTTATAATGGGGTAATCTAATGAGCAAAAAAATCACCCATGGCCACACCGAGAAACTGTGTACTGCTACCTTATAAGGGACTACATCACTCTCATTGTTATAAGGGAGGTTATCAGTGTTGTGATGGATCACCCTCGTTGTGGTAAGGGGTAATCACTCTCGCTTGACTAGTAGAGCTTAGATAAGCATGTTATCACACATGCTGCTTTTATCTCCTTTAGTCATGTTGATGTTGTTAAAGATATTTAGTAACCTATGTAAAAATTTTGTTTTATATTTCTACTCTGAAATGTGTGGTTTTTAATGTGATATACTATAATTAGTCTGATTGAGATGAAAGTTCGGATATCAGCAGTGTACTGTGTGGAACAGGTAAAGGAACCCAATGCAACAACTGTCTCTACTTTGGAAATGTAAAATATTTCATTTATTTTAAATTATGCCACTGCGTAAAATACCATGACATGGTCTCAATGAGAAGATTCAGGGTTGATCAACTAATTTTTTCCAGAGTTACAGAAAAAATAGATCTCATTTCTCATTTTCTCAGTGATGGTTTAAGGGGATGTTGAATTGAAATTTGACTTTTAGTTATATTATGAGAAGATACAGGACAGCTCTTATTTTGTTGGAAGGAGGATTTGTGTCACACCTAACACATTTAGTTTATGCTATCTATCAGTACAGGAAAAGGGGACATTGCCTATAAAAGACCAGACTTCACACTCCAATCTCAAACTATTGATACAACAGAAAAACCAGCAACACCTTAAGACTGAGATCTGTATGTAGTTACATGTTAGTTACACATTCAGACTTAGATCTGTATGTAGTTACATGTTAGTTACACATTCAGACTTAGATCTGTATGTAGTTACATGTTAGTTACACATTCAGACTGAGATCTGTATGTTATTACATGCCAGTAATACATTAAGACAGATCTGTATGTAGTTACCTGCCAGTAATACATTAAAACTGATCTGTATGTAGTTACATGCCAGTAATACATTAGACAAACTCTCGTGTAATTGTGCAAATTTTAAGGGCTATTTATTTGTATTTACAAAGCATGATAATGAGAGATTTTATCAGATATTTGGCTTAGGAATTTTAAGGTATTGTACAATATAATCTAGTTTACCAGTTGTAGTTAGAATCTGAAATAACCTGCATGTTACAATGTAAAAATGTTGTGTTACATGTAAGTGTAAACATATTGTATGAGTGTGAAATAAATGTTGTATATATTCATTGACAGACGGGAGCGTGACTGCACGAGAACGTTTGGGTAGCTACAGTCCTACCCCAGGTATATTGCCACACTCCTTTGTGACCTATGACCTGCACTGTTTGTTGTGTGTAGTTATCAGTGTGTTTGTAGATGTCCACAGTTTTTCATTGCTGCCTTTAAGCCAGCTTTTATTGATAATGGGTTAAAACTCTATTTTGGAGAGGTTGCATATGCTTTGATTGAGAGCACTATGATTTCCTTGCACTGTGTGTGATTAACTATTTCTTGTCTGGTTATTTCTAGCTGCTTCTCAAGGTTCCTTCTTTCCTCAGTGATCAGAAGTGTCCCTCTCTTATTATGTGATCAGAAGTGTCCCTCTCTTATTGTGTAACCAGAAATGTCCCTCTCTTATTATGTGATCAGAAATGTCCCTCTCTAATTGTGTGATCAGAAATGTCCCTTTCTTACTGTGTGACCAGAAACGTCCCTTTCTTACTGTGTGACCAGAAACGTCCCTTTCTTATTGTGTGATCAGAAATGTCCCTCTCTAATTGTGTGATCAGAAATGTCCCTTTCTTACTGTGTGACCAGAAACGTCCCTTTCTTACTGTGTGACCAGAAACGTCCCTTTCTTACTGTGTGACCAGAAACGTCCCTTTCTTATTGTGTGATCAGAAATGCCCACACCTTTCTTGTGTGATCATAAACATCCCTATCTTATCTGAGTGATGGGAAACTTCTTATTTTTACTTGTGTGTTCAGAGACATTCTAATGACACTCACTGCTGTTTGTTTATAATCAAATTGATGAATAAGCAAAACTACACATCAGGGTAAATAACCTTTTTATACCTAGTCTCCTGCTTCAATGCATTTGATCTAATTTTGTACTTTTTACTGTTTGTATAAAACTGTGGGAAATCTTTCTCTGCTGTGCTATGTTTAAGCTTACAAATATGTATCTTATTGAAGTGTGATCAGATTTAGCTCCTCTGTCTGACGGTTGTTCAGATTTAGCCCCCCTGCCTGAATTTTTTTCAAGATTTAGCTCCCCTGCCAAAAGTTTGCTCAGATTTAGCTCTGCCTCCCCTGCCTGAAATTTCGTCCAAATTTAGCTCCCCTGTCTGAAATTTTGTTCAGATTTAGCTCCCCTACCCGAATGTTGCTCAGATTTAACTCCCCAGCCTGATGACTGTTCACATTTAGCTCACCTGTTTCAAGGCTGTTCAGATTTTGCTATTGGCGCTAATACAAACCAAATGTCTTTGTTACTTTATCTGCTTTTTTTACTTTGAATTAATCAAACATTTGTATATTCAAGATGTCTGGGGTCATATTGGTAGTAACATGCTAGGACAAACCAGGCTATGATATATTTCTTGGAATAAACCAGACCTTTTTTCATTACATGTATACTTAGCCTGTTGCCTACAGTGATCTGTGATATAGGGCTGTCAAGTTTTTTCAAGTCAGTGACCATGACTGTTGTAGTGTCTCAGGAACCTTGTTTTCAGATCAAAAGAATAAAGCCTGTTGATCAGAAGCGAGGAAGCTGGGGTTGACTCCTAAAGTCTCTAGAATTCTCGAAGAAGTACCCTGAAATACTTATAAGTCAGTATGAATAAGATTAAGATATGATATCAAGATTCTTTGGCCTCTATCATCATATGGTGAACTGTTCGAATTCCATTCATCTATTGTACATGGTCCATCCCTCTGATCTTGAACAGTTATTGTTGGCACAATTTCTGGAGAAGTACGAGATGGATCATTTTCAAATTTCATATATAGCATCCTATTGGTCTAATTTGTGACTAATCCAAACAAACAGAATGGCCCATGAGCTTCAATCTAAGATTCTGACAACAATAATTTGTTATTGCTATTTCTTAATAGAGAAGTACTGGTTGGATCATTCTCAAATTGATCTTGGATTTTATCTATGAAAATTTTGTTATCTTTATTTCTTAGGATTGTTATCAGATTTTATACAAAGCTTCCCTTTGGTCTCTAGTTGTACCCTTTGATTTTAAGACTGATCAGAGAAACAGAATTCCTGACAGGTTTGATTTTGACAATTAAAGTTTGTTATTGTTATTTAATAAGGAATACTGGATGGATCTTTTTCAAATCTTAAATATAGTTCCCCTTTATACCTAGGTCAACAGAAGGCCATTTTGGATTTTAAAAAAAATAAAAAAAATAATCTCTGTTTCTTAAGAAGACCCTTCAAAATACATTAAGTGAGAGATGGAACAAAGGAATGGTTAACTGTAATGCTTATTCTGTGTTGTGTTACCCTGGTAATTGTTGTATCAAGTTTGTTTGAATGTACATCGTATTTGACATTGACTCAGTTTGGCAGTCACAGACTCAGATGTGAGATGTTTGCCCCTATTTAGGTAAGCAATCATAGACCAAGAAGGACTCTCTGTCAAATCTGCTTATCTGCAACATATCTACAACATATCTACAACTTTGTGATTTCTTTCACTTGCTTTTGATTGGTTGTATGCAGCCATAGAAATGACAAGCTTCTGAGGGCCCCTGTTACTGTGGTAACTTCTAGCTGGACACTACAACATTGTCTGTATAATGTCAGATAGAATTACTGATACAGGGACCTCAGGTAGCTTAACAAATTTACGCATTTATTAATTCTGATTCCAAACTTTGTATGTTTTTTTAATTCATTTTCACTAGTATATCATATACGTGACTTCTCTGTCAGTACCAAAGAATTCTGTCAGTACTGACTCTATTATGCAAAGGATGCTTTACACTTTAAACTGTGCACTTTTTCAGAATAAAGAGGGCATTCAGAATAAAGAGGGCATTTTTCTGTAACCCCAACGAGACATAATTTACCAAGGACTGACAATACCTTGTCAGTGAGCCTTGTCAGACCTCTTCCTACAGTTTGCCATGTACACCTATTAACTGGTATTAACTAAAAGTACAATGAATTTTATGTAACTGATATTGCAAACTATTAATGTATATGTTTCAGTGTTTTAGGATTATGTATATAAACAGTATTTATAACATATAAAGTATAGCAACAGGTCCTTATACCATTTAAAAATTTAGGGGAGAAAACACTAGATTGGTGATCCCAACCATTCCTTACCCCGGTCCTATAACTGTACACCAGTCCTATACCTAACAAATGTCCCTGTTGTCAATGCTGTCCTTATGTTGTGTTTATATTTCAGGATCCCTGATGCTTAGTGTTGTTGGTAACTATCATTGCTTCCCCTAGATAAATGTAGATCACATTAGAGGCAATTAGGACTCACAGGATATCTTTCATATATATCAACATTAGTTCATTTAAAGTATTTCTTTTTCAAATACACATATGCAGATGGTAGACATATGTGGTTTTACCTGAAGTTTACATTGGTGATATTACCTGTAATGTAAAGATGTGGTGTTATCTGTAATCTAGTTGTGTGATGTTACCTGGATTGTACAGGTGTGATGTTACCTTTAGTGTACAGGTGTGATGTCACCTGTTATGTACATGTGTGATGTTGACCGTAATGTAAAGGTGTGATGTTACCTGTAGCATATGAGTGTGATATTACCTGTAGCGGACAAGTGTGATGATACCTGTTATGTACAGGGGTGATGTTACCTGTAGCGAACAAGTGTGATGTTACCTGTTATGTACAGGTGTGATATTACCTATTATGTACAGGTGTGATATTACCTATTATGTACAGGTGTGATATTACCTGTTATGTACAGGTGTGATGTTACCTGTTGTGTACAGATGTGATGGTACCTGTTATGTACAGGTGTGATGTAACCTGTTATGTACAGGTGTGATGTTCCTGTTATGTACAGGTATGATGGTACCTGTTATTTACAAGTGTGATGTTACCTGTTGTGTACAGGTGTGATGTTACCTGTTATGTACAGGTGTGATGTTACCTGTTATGTACAGGTGTGATATTACCTATTATGTACAGGTGTGATGTTACCTGTTGTGTACAGATGTGATGGTACCTGTTGTGTACAGGTATGTTGGTACCTGTTATGTACAGATGTGATGGTACCTGTTGTGTACAGGTGTGATGTTCCTGTTGTGTACAGGTGTGACGTTCCTGTTATGTACAGGTATGATGGTACCTGTTATTTACAGGTGTGATATTACCTATTATGTACAGGTGTGATATTATCTGTGATGTACAGGTGTGATGTCACCTGTTGTGTGATATTACCTGTTATGTACAGGTATGATGGTACCTGTTATTTACAAGTGTGATGTTACCTGTTGTGTACAGGTGTGATGTTACCTGTTATGTACAGGTGTGATGTCACCTGTTGTGTGATATTACCTGTTATGTACAGGTATGATGGTACCTGTTATTTACAGGTGTGATATTACCTATTATGTACAGGTTTGATGTTACCTGTTATGTACAGGTGTGATGTCACCTGTTATTTACAGGTGTGATATTACCTGTTATGTACAGGTGTGATGTTACCTATTATGTACAGGTATGATGATACCTGTTATTTACAGGTGTGGTATTACCTGTTATGTACAGGTATGATATTACCTGTAATTTACAGGTGTGATGTTACCTGTTATGTACAGGTATGATGTTACCTGGTATGTACAGGTGTGATATTACCTGTAATGTACAGGTGTGATGTTACCTTTTATGTACAGGTATGATATTACCTGTTATGTACAGGTGTGATATTACCTATACTGTACAGGTGTAATATTACCTGTTAAGTACAGGTATGATGTTACCTGGTATGTACAGGTGTGATATTACCTGTAATGTACAGGTGTGATATTACCTATACTGTACAGGTGTAATATTACCTGTTATGTACAGATGTGATGGTACCTGTTATGTACAGGTGTAATATTACCTGTTATGTACAGGTGTAAAAGTACCTATAATGTACAGGTATGCTGGTACCTGTTGTTTACAGGTATGCTGGTACCTGTAGTAATGTTCCCTTAGTTGCTTTAAATTTTGATACATGCTGCTTGTGCTGATTAAGATTTCTGCTACAATAATGGGCGTGGTGCTTGATTCCTCCTATATATTACAGTAAGTGTAGAATCTGCTTATAATAATACCAGGTGTATGTGATCTGTTTCCTGTAGATGATAGTATGTAGAATTCTCAACCATATATGACAGTGTTGTAGTCTGTTAACTGTAGAGGATGGTTTCCAGAATTTTCCACCATGATATGACAGTGTTGTAGCTTGTTAACTGTAGATGATGGTATCCAGAATTCTCCACTATAATATGACAGTGTTGCAGTCTGTTTTTGTTGATGTAGCAATTTGGTCCAAAGTGGTCTAGGCTATTGACTGGTCATAAAATCCATATCATCATCTCATTGACTTTTTAAAGAGTATTCTGATGGGTTTACCTGAAATATAAAGAGTTTCGTATTAGTAGTAACACCATACACATGTTAAGTAGGATGAATTTCTCATTTACGGGTATTTGTTTTCCACTTTATTTGGGTTTTGTGATCAGAAGAAAAATTACTTTCATGAAAGGCTCATGTTGAGTGTTCAGCCAATCAGACCATACATACACACAAACATTGTAGATATTGGGATTGATTTAGGGGGTTGAATAGTTGTTTATCTAAAGCTGATGTTTTATTTTTGTGGGTTTTTTTTGTTTATGTATTCGTATGGATTCCTGTAATGTTGTTATATCTTTGTAAATTTTATGTGATACTGTTATAGAATACATATATTATTCATACCTGTATTTTTGATGTTCAATCAATCAAATATCATGTTTTTTTCAGACCTGAATTTTCATCGAGAACCTAGTTCCTTCACCCATACTCCAGCTGTCCAGACCCGCACCCACAGTAAATATATTTCAATGCAGACTTACCAGAACAATGCAGATGTTAGTCAGTCCCCGGGCTACTCCCACCAGCGAGGAGGCCCCGGGGGTGGGGGTTATGCTCAGCAGGATAACTGGTAAGTACAGCACAACTTAACCTACTGGTACATGGAATTTTATCACTGAAGCTAGATTTACTGATTAAGGAAACTAAGACATAAAAAGTTTGGAATCTAGAGCAGTCACTCGGTTACATTACAATATATTTCCATATTCTATCAGTTAAATGTTTTATTTTTCTCAAATATGGAGGTTGATACGTGATTTCATTAACCTGCAGGAGAGTAGCAGATAGCAACCAAGAATGGCAGACACAAGCGACTCGCAAGAAGAAAAAGAAAAAGTTTCTGCAGGTTTGTGAGATATGGTATTTCGATAAGAAATTCATGTTTATTCAAGAGGAGACTGAATCTTCTAAGAATAATGTTAAAATTGGTAAATCTTATCAATATTTACTACCCGCTCAGTCATTCAGAGTCAAATAAATTGTGAGATTAACATTCCTATTATACACTACACGGATATCAGAAATGGTCGCTAGTTGTGTCTAGGAAAGTGGTTTTATATCTGTATAGCTGAGAAACAGTATAAAGAAGGTTTTAACAATCCTTTTGTCAGTTTGTGACATATTCAGTAGAATGCAACTCCTCCAAGAGTCATTGAATATTTAATATACCACCTACAATGAAGTTAGAGAAGGAGAGGGAAGGATGTTGTACTAGAAACACCCTGTCTGGACTTCGTCTTCAAACCTTATCAGGGAAACTCCTCCTAAACTTTTGAACTTATGTCATTATAACTAAACAGGATTGAAACATGGCCAAATGGTGTAACTAATCATAGCCTATGATTTGACACATTATGGTTCCAGAACAATTGCCATGGAAACAACGAAGGCTTCTGATTGGTCCAAATTGAGATATTATCAAATTCTAATGAAAATTTAAAGGTTTTGAAAAATAAGACCTATGATTAGAGGGATCTTGTCCAGAACTCTCCCAAACTCAATAACCTACTTCAATGAGGCTTGTAAAAGCCTGCACAGTATATATGTGACGCATCTTGATCTCTGCTGGTTCCTACTAGACACCAGTCTATACAGTAAGGTCTGTAGATCTGTGTTGGTCCCCACTAAACACCAGTCTATACAGTAAGGTCTGTAGATCTATGTTGGTTCCCACTAGACACCAGTCTATACAGTAAGGTCTGTAGATCTGTGTTGGTCCCCGCTAGACACCAGTCTATACAGTAAGGCCTGTAGATCTGTGTTGGTCCCCACTAGACACTGGTCTATACAGTAAGGTCTGTACATTTGTGTTGGTCTCCACCAGCCACCAGTCTATACAGTAAGGTCTGTACATCTGTGTTGGTCCCCACTAGACACCAATCTATACAGTAAGGGCTGTAGATTTGTGTTGGTCCCTACTGGACACCAGATTGTATAGTAAGAGCTATAGATCTCTTTTGGTTCCTTCTAGCACCAGCTGTACAGTAGATATCTGTATGTCCATTCCACTGGAGATATAGGACTTTTTGTAGAGGTAAACATTAATCAATTTACCAGATTAAATATATATTTTCAATCTATGTCACATGACAGATTCTAGCCAATGAGAATGCTGGGAGAATGACCCCAACAACACGTCTCCATCTAAATCAGTCAAGGGCAAGTCATCTAGACTATGATGATGACGTAGAGGAGGGTCAGACATCGGCACGAGAACCATTACAGAACTGGGAATACTCGGCTAAAGACGGTTTATACAGCAGTCGTCATCAATATGCCAAGGCAGCAGCATCCCTTCGCAAACAAACACGCACCCCAGTGGATAAGGTATGACTACTGTCAGCCAATCGAATTACTCCTAACTAACAGTTTAAATACATGACTACTGGTACTTAATGTTTCTTTTTGTAAGGTAGTCATTATTATGAATCATCAATATCATTATGTAGGTATTCATCAAAAAGCATGATATAATTTATAAAGAAGCTGGTTACACAATCTAAGCTAGAATTTTTATTTTGTAAATATGACTGAGTATTTATACTATCAGTTAACTGTTGTTGGTTGTATGTTGTTTGTAGGGAACAAGACTACAGCCCCTACAGAAACCGCCTCCACACCTGGGTAGCCTAGCCCCAGGGAATAGTGCAGGTGGAGCCATGGATCCCATGTGGCATGGCCACCACTCCCATGGCAAGTCAGACTCTGACACGCGTCTCGTAAACAACACTGGCACAGACCTCCGTACAGGCTGGATGTCTCGACCTCAGTCTGTCTTGGGGGATGACTCTTCAGACATATATCACTACACACCACGAGAACCTACAGAGCTCAAATCTCTAAAGGGAGGCAAGCAGGGTCGGCACCACATGGATTTACGAGGAACGCGAGATTAGTGTGAAAGTTGACTATAGGGAAGGCAAGATGAATCATTTATTTTTTTCATCAGACTTGCATTTATCATTTGCTTTATCATTGATTACACCTGTATGCATATATTTCAGAGAATTATACAGACTTTGTGCTCGAATGTAAACCAATCTCTGAGAAGAAAAAGTTGGAATGCCTCAAAACAGTTACGTATACTCATATATTCTAAACAAAATCAAAAACAAGGTTTGATGCTCAGATAAATCTGGCTTGAGATTAATTTGTTTCTGATGTTGAAAAATAAATTTTGACATTGTTTACATATAATATATATTTAATCTAAAACCTGTAGCACATATTTATGTATATTCATCATATACATAAAAAATTAGGTTATATATGAAAATGTTTTATGAAGTTTATTCTTGCTCTTATTAAAATTAATTGACATTATAATACATGTAAGTGGTCTACATGAATATCTCTGTATACTGGAAGTTCAATTTGTTATAAAAATGATTTAGTCAAAATTCTGCAGAAAAATAAAGAGTATTTGTGTGTTGAATGCATTAGAGTTTTGTAAATGAAACTAACGTTACTAATGAGTTGTTTATCTGTTAAGGATTTCTCACACAGACCTCGCTGTATAGGATTGGTGAATCCAAATCATAAACATTGGTATCCCTGTAATTTATTGATATGGTTTATGAGCAACACAATCATTACATTCAACTTGGAATTTTTACTGAGTAGGTTGCATTTAGGAACAAACTTTACACAGAAGTGATATCTGTCCGTCCCTCTTGTCTCAGTGATTATACATCTGTCAATATATATTTGTCTGTCCCTATTGTCTCAGTCGTGATATGTCTCTCTGTCTCTGTGTTGTCTCGCTCATGATAAATATGTCCGTCCCTCTTGTCTCAGTGATTATACATCTGTCAATATATATTTGTCTGTCCCTGTTGTCTCAGTCGTGATATGTCTCTTTGTCCCTGTGTTGTCTCACTCATAATAAATATTGTTATACATCTTTCTGTCTCTGTTGTCTCGGTTGTTATACATCTGTCTGTCTCTGTTGTCTCGGTTGTTATACATCTGTCAATTCTTGTGTTTGACTCAGCTGTTACCAATTGGTCTGTGCCTGTTGTTGTTTTTTCATTATAAATCTGTCCGTGCCTGTTATCTCAGCCGTTATACACCTGCCGATATCTGGGTTATCAGTCTGTATGTTCCTATTATCTGATGTGACATATTATATAGATTCTGAAGAATATACTCACCAGTTACTAACACAGTATTTAATTTTACATTCCTTTCCTTTACATTTTATTGAAAAAGAAAATTTCCTTTATTACTTTTTGTTTAACATTCCTTTCTACCTCATCTTAGTTGCATTGTGGTTATTTCATGAATACCTTAATTCTAAATTTTGTAAAAGAAGATAGGATTAAATTATAAAAGGTTTATTGAACTAAGAATAGTTATGTTCTATTACAGAAAACTTAATACAGAACTTTAAATATTTACACCATATGATAAAATGTTCTTGCAGAAAAAAAAGTATTCTAATGAAAGATGTCCTTTTTCTTTGCTGATTCTTTTACCTCTGACCAGAGTGCAGTGATAAGGTCTAGTTTAATTGAAAATATAATTTAGATCAGTATAAGATTGCCAGGACAGTGGCATTATATCGAGAGCTGAGAGTAAACCACAGCATGAATATCACACAACAAAATTCTATATTTCATGATAGTCAGTTCTAAATGAATGCAAGTAATCCAGTAGGAAGCAACAATATTAACATTCTTTGATGTGATGTACTTTCCCATACTGGAGCAAAGATCTCTCACATACTTCTCATCACTTCCTCATTATGGGGCAGAAATATCTTATCTACCTCTCATCACTTCCTCACACTAGCACTTAAACTTCTTCATACTTGGACAAAATCTATTACCTACTTTTCATCACTTCCTCATACTGAATCTCTCACCTACTTCTCTCACTTCCTCATACTGGGGTAAAATCTACAACCTACTTCTCTACACTTCCTCATACTGGGGTAAAATCTACAACCTATTTCTCTACACTTCCTCATACTGGGGTAAAATCTACAACCTACTTCTCTACACTTCCTCATACTGGGGTAAAATCTACAACCTACTTCTCTACACTTCTTCATACTGGGGTAAAATCTACAACCTACTTCTCTACACTTCCTCATACTGGGGTAAAATCTACAACCTACTTCTCTACACTTCCTCATACTGGGGTAAAATCTACAACCTACTTCTCTACACTTCCTCATACTGGGGTAAAATCTACAACCTACTTCTCTACACTTCTTCATACTGGGGTAAAATCTACAACCTACTTCTCTACACTTCCTCATACTGGGGTAAAATCTACAACCTACTTCTCTACACTTCCTCATACTGGGGTAAAATCTACAACCTACTTCTCTACACTTCTTCATACTGGGGTAAAATCTACAACCTACTTCTCTACACTTCCTCATACTGGGGTAAAATCTACAACCTACTTCTCTACACTTCCTCATACTGGGGTAAAATCTACAACCTACTTCTCTACACTTCCTCATACTGGGGTAAAATCTACAACCTACTTCTCTACACTTCCTCATACTGGGGTAAAATCTACAACCTACTTCTCTACACTTCCTCATACTGGGGTAAAATCTACAACCTACTTCTCATCTACTTCTTCTCATACAATTATACAAGGATTGTCATTTATAGTTTTTGTTTTGCCAAAGAATGTAGACAAGTGCTGTTCAGTGTTTTATCTGGTACCAGTAAATCTTAGGTAAAACATCAATATTAAAATGAGAGGGTGATATAGTGGAATAACAAATAGAGAATGAGGGAGTAAAAATTAAAATAATGCTAGAAAGTGTGAGAAAGGAATTGGGGTGATATACGAGAAAATAACATTGAGAGAAGAGATCATGAAAATGTTTGGTCAGAAGGATGGGGAAGAGAATATTAAAAAATCAAATGTATGAGGGTGACAGAATGTCTTAGAATGATTACAGGTTAAGTAATGTCTGAGAAGAAAAGGAGAGGGAAAGGACATAGTGTAATGTAATACATTAATCACATGTGTATTTGTGGATCATTTATGTTTGTATATGTAACCATTATGTACAGGTAAACATGGTCCTTATATTGATACAGGTAAATATTGTCCTAATATTGATACAGGTAAACATGGTCCTAGTATTGATACAGGTAAACACGGTTCTAGTATTGATACAGGTAAATATTGTCCTAGTATTGATACAGGTAAACGTTGTCCTAATATTGATACAGGTAAACATGGTCCTAGTATTGATACAGGTAAACATGGTCCTAATATTGATACAGGTAAACATGGTCCTAGTATTGATACAGTTAAACATGGTCCTAATATTGATACAGGTAAACATGGTCCTAGTATTGATACAGGTAAACAAGGTCCTAATGTTGATACAGGTAAATATGGTCCTAATATTGATACAGGTAAACATGGTCCTTGTATTGATACAGTTAGACATGGTCCTAGTATTGATACAGGTAAACATGGTCCTAGTATTGATACAGGTAAACATGGTCCTAGTATTGATACAGGTAAACATGGTCCTTGTATTGATACAGGTAAACATGGTCCTAGTATTGATACAGGTAAACATGGTCCTTGTATTGATACAGGTAAACATGGTCCTAGTATTGATACAGGTAAACATGGTCCTAGTATTGATACAGGTAAATATGGTCCTAATATTGATACAGGTAAACATGGTCCTTATATTTGAACAGGTTAATATGTTGTCCTTGATTTAGTACAGGTAAATGTTGCCCTAGTATTGGTACATGTAAATATTGCCATAGATTTGTACAAGTAAATATAGCCCTAGGATTTGTACAGGTAAATGTTGCCTTGGTATTGGTACAGGTAAATTTTTCCTATACTTTTTTGTATTTTTCCAATGGAATTGGGTTGGATATGAAACATTGATTTCCAAATTTCCTGGTTAATGTTGAAACCAGTTATAATCATGTTTATGATAAGTTCTTGACCCATTGTATGACTGAAGACTCAAACTCAAAATTAAATGAAATATCTATTTCAAATTATTTTGTAATTTTCTTAGTGTTCTAGTGGTATTTCTGGGTCAAGTGCCTCCATAAACATGTTAGATATTTCCTCCAATTTTAGAAGCCTTAATTTCAAACACAAGTAGGTCATACAAATGCCCCACTACTTTAATCTATAATATGTAATGTTAAAGACAATACTTTCTTCTACATGAGAAAGGCAAATCTCACATACTACTCTGTTTATGTGATATTTGTGATGTTTTAGGTAAAGTGGTAATATATCTGATTAACTTTCTGGTGCATAAACCAAAAGGGAGGCAAAAGTGATTGTTCAGGTAGTATTTGTATTATTTGATATTATACACAAGAAAAGTTTTTTGTCCCTTTAAAATGGATATAACATCTCATTTTCCACCTCCCTATAATGATATTTCATTACAGAATTTCACACCTTGATGAAGAAAATTGACCCTGGGGCCTAATGGACTAAAATGTTTAGGTATATCGGTCCCAGGACCTTCTAAGCATAACAGGATATGTTTGTAGGTATACCAGTCTCGGGACCTTCTAGGCATAACAGGATATGTTTGTAGGTATACCAGTCTCGGGACCTTCTAAGCATAACAGGATATGTTTGTAGGTATACCAGTCTCAGGACCTTCTAGGCATAACAGGATATGTTTGTAGGTATACCAGTCTCGGGACCTTCTAGGCATAACAGGATATGTTTGTAGGTATACCAGTCTCGGGACCTTCTAGGCATAACAGGATATGTTTGTAGGTATACCAGTCTCGGGACCTTCTAGGCATAACAGGATATGTTTGTAGGTATACCAGTCTCGGGACCTTCTAAGCATAACAGGATATGTTTGTAGGTATACCAGTCTCGGGACCTTCTAGGCATAACAGGATATGTTTGTAGG